TTTTCTGTTACGAAACCCTAACTTTGATCTGTTTGCATTGCGTGAATTTGAAATATGAAACTGGGTATATTTACTAAAATATATCTTGTATTTTTAAAGATCAGATTGTTTTGCTTTTTCTTAGCTGAACCCTTTCACGAGTTTGCATAAATTTTAGTCTGCATCACTTTTGCAACTATTATAATTTCAGCCTGTATAAACACTGAGAGAGGCACACTACTGCCTTTTGTTAAATTTTGGCTGCTATTTGTGTATAACTCTCAAGTTACATGATTCCTCTGATTCATTATTTGTATTGCAACAGTGATGGATGCTGTGCACATTACTGACTTAATGGGCTTTCTTAAAAAAGTGAATTAGTCTTTGCAGTATACTTTGAGCCACATTCTGTATGTGTGCGTGAACGCGTTTTGCGAAAGAATTGTCACAAAACAAAATAAAGTCATGAACAAATCTAAAGAATTTCAGTATTAAATGTAAAATTGCCAAAATAGATTTATTTTCCAGATTGTGTTTATACCCTGATGTGCTTCTAGCCAAACCCCAAATATTAAAGGCATCCTCATCTGGCCTATCTGCATTTTGTATTCTGTTTTAATATTCTTGGATTGGGAGATGCAGGAGTCCTAAATCCTGTCCTTCACGCTGGAGCTTTTGTTTTTCCTGTTGCTGTGAATGTTGTTAAAAGTATGTTTCCCCATTGCTGCCCTGAAAAAGGAACATCCGTTTCTTTGGCAACGAGACCCATTGCAGTGCGAGAATTGGAGACCTCCTCATCACCCCGTGTTTTTGCTTCTGTAACTTCGCTTCATGTTTGCTGGCTACTTCCCAGACTCCCACACCCCTCACCCCAAAGGGCGCTGTTAAGCTTTCCAGCAGCCTTGCCTTTCCTGCAGATCAACCCACAAAATGTCCCAGCTTTACCGTGGCACACAGGTTAGACCAGACGTTATCATCACTGATTGCTGGTGAGCCCTGTAGTATTATAGCCCTGTGTGGTGGTGAACACTTTCATTTGTACGGGGTTCTAGCATTGGGCAAAAATGTGCAATTAGTTTTTAAGTCAATCAATGTTCTCCTTCTTCATGTCATGTTGTTCATCCTGTTCGTCTCATTTAACTAAAACAACTTAAGGTTTTTAAGGCTATTTCACTAATAATGCGCACCCTTCTTACTTAAAAAGTATAACCCGTGGATAAACGGGCTCCTTTGTATTTTGTCTGCAGCCATATTTTACTGTAGACTAAATTCTTTGTGTGGTGTGCCTATACCCCTGCCTGTGCAGGTCAGCTTCCATAAAATCAAACTGGGCGTGGATCTTCCAAAGCCTGGAAGTTGTTCTTGCAAGAAATATTGGCCCGTGTGATTTTCCCTGACTATGCATTTGTCGGATCGCTGCAGCGGAAGGGGTTCAGGTGGCTGTGAACAACTTCATTAGGCTCAAACAACAAAGCTTAAAGCTTATTCTGTTGCTCAAAAGGCTTCTTTATACTGAGCAGAGAAGCACTATTTTTGTCCGTCCCCCCCTCCTCCTCCCAAACAAAGATCTCTCCAGCTAGTACGCAGAAGTCGCATTCTCACTGGCTGCTCGCATGTAAGATGTCAATTCAAATGCAGGACTGTCTGTGTCAGCCTGCTTTTACAGTAATTCCTTTGTTCCACTTGGGATCAGTCTGTTTATCACACAGATAAATAAAGGTAACCTAATTTATTTGAAAAAATCATAGAGGAGCTATATCTGGGCTACTCACTTTTAATAGCTGTAGACGAATACGTTTTCACTCTTTCAGTAAAAAGTGAACTAGAAATCTGATTAATATTCCAAAATGTCCTTCAGCATAGTATGGCAGTTTCTTTAGAGGATTGGGGTCCAATAAGAAGCTCTTTTAAAATGATTGTTACTGATTTCTTGAATATTTTTTGAGTGTTCATTGTTTGTTCATTTACAATTAGTGCTTTGTGGTTGCCTAGGCAGGCCATCATTTGAAGATACAAGGAAGCAGCTTTTGCAGTCATAAGACAGTGATATAAAGTTTTGTTTAACCCTGTTTTACCTCGGCAAACTGTTTGCCCTTTCGTACTCCAAGGATACTAAAGAGGCAGTTATTTTTACAAAAATGAGTTTCCTCTTTGCTCAAAACCTTTAGTCCTTTGCCTTATGTAGGACAGTATTACAGCTTTCTAAACAGGTTATTGAACTTAGAAACCGGGATCAAGAGCATTACTTTAAATAACTTTGTCAGATTTTGTTCAGCTTCCAAATTTGTTGGCAAGACCATTCCTAAGTGTATGAATCTTTTCCTGCATCTGCCTACATTGTTAGCATTCAACAGTGGATGTTAAGTCAATTTATTGCAAAATGCAGTAAAATTAAGTCATACAGAAATCTCTCCTTGGATTTATTTTAAATGCACGTACTTTTTTAAATCTGTTCACTGGAAATTGATTTCTGTAGTCTCTACCCAGTCTGTTCCTGTTTGACATTATTAGTTTGTAGTTTTGCCTTCAGCTTGAGCCAGTCAGTAAACTAATTTTGGGATTATGCCAAAGTGATTTACCTTTAATGTACAGACAGGTGAAGAATATTATATACTTCAATTAAACCTTTCTCAATTGTTTACATTGTGAAGCAGCAGTACAGATTCCAACTGGCAGCAGATACCATAGCCCTTTAGATTGCTCACCATTTGCTAACTCTCCACAGTATGTGAACGTGTTCATTAACTGTTATTAAATATTCAGACTCTTCCACCTATCGCTATAGTTTTTATATAGTCCACCATATTACTGAATTCTGTACGTTGCCACCTCTGTGTGAGAATATCCTTAGCCTCAATTCTGAACTGGGAGGTCAACTTTTCTCTGTTTATATATCCTGAGTTCAGTGATGTACACAAACTAACACTGAGGAAACATCATCGTTGTGTATAATATAATGTTACAACTGAAAATGCATTTATGCTTAAAAGGGCAGGAATGCCTGGTGTACTTCCTAGACAGTTCTGATTTTGTCATAATACACACAGAAAACATTCCTGAGGGGAAAAAAACTCCCAACAAAATAACTGAGTTCACTAATGAGTAATGTGGGTTAAAAATGCACATTGTGGTTGGTATTGTGTTTTTCATCCAGTGGGGATATTAAAAAAAAAAATATCCTTGGCTTTCTGCACTGGGATAGAATGTTAAATAGTGACTGAATTTTCAGTTCAAAACAGAGCTATGAAAAGAAGGCCAATGAAAACAAGTATAAAGACTTGATTTTATAGCATATGGAGACTTGGCCACCTTGATCTTAATGAGGTGAGGGTAATAGTTTTGTTGCACAAGAGAAAAAAGCCTGTGACTTGTAATTTAATAGAGCACAGGGGAATCAGAGAGTGCTATGTGTAGATGAGAAGTTAACGTTGGTACGAGTTACATCTTCAGGACCTAATAAGTAAAGAGAAATATTTTAAAGTCTATCTGGAATTTAACAGGCAGCCAATGCAGAGATTTCAAGATAAGAATTACGTGAATACCAGAATGAGACCTTACCGAGACCCTTGCCTTCAGTGTTTTGAACATTCTAAAGGTTTTTTTTAAGGTGTTCTTTGAAGCTCTGGGAAGAAAGGTATTGCAGTAGACCAGTCCAAACGAAACATGTTACTGCTCTCATCTTTCTGCAGTGGAAGATGAAGGAAAGCGATTGGGGTGAAATTCAGAAATTGTGCCTCGAAAGTTAAACTGGGATCATTTTTTTTATTTTGTGAAGAGAACTCAATTTGAAGACCATTAATAGCTGTTACTTCACAAAATGTTGGCTTTAGAGAAAAGTAAATCTTCTGAACTAACAATAGTTAGTTTACACTGTGAAATGTCACTACACTTTGGCCAAGGGGGAGTATGTATATATATTGAGCAAAACAATATACTTGCATTTCCAGGCTTTTGTATTTAGTGTAAACTTCAGTACCTGAAGGTTTGGAACATGCATATTCTCCCCATGGTTACATGGATTTTTGCTGCTTGCTCTGGTTCTTTTGACATGAAATGTAGGTTTGACACTGATCCACTAGCCCGAAATGTCCATTTCCACGTAGTGTTTCATCCTTAGTGAGAGATGTTCCTAGTGCAGCCAGTGCTGGCTGTGAGACTGTAGAGAAATATAGTGCTCCTTTTGTTTGTAATCTTTCTTAAGTTCTTATTCTTTAATCATTATCCACCACTGACTATACTGCCTATCGGGTAGAGAAGTGTGAACATTTTCCATAAATTCCACAAATCTACTAACGGAAAAGAATTAAGGTGGGTTAAATGGGAATCTTGAAGTGGATATAAACAGCCATCGGGATTACTAACCCTACCTTTAAAAAACCTACTTAACCATTCATTAAATTATTTCTCCATTAATCAAATTATACATTGGTTTTACAGCAACAACATTGGTCTCCTATGTTGAAGAGCTGCTGTACAGTACCCAGCTGGGTGCTGCACTTCAGTGCTGGAGGACAAGGGTTTTGAGATCTTTGGAATGGAAAGAACTATACAAATGCAAAATATTTTATTAAATTTGTTTTGAATGGAATTTGGAGATGAGAAGAGAAGATTAAGGGCTTACTTGAGTCATAGATGACCTATTTGATAGAAGAGAACATTTAAGAGACGGGACTAATAGAGATCTGCTTTGTTGCCTTTTTTTTCTTACTCAGAAGTCTAGTTATTTCTTCCTTGATCATACAATGTGAATAAACAGTGTAAAATATGGGAATTTCTGACATGTAATTTGACCTTTTGTTAACTTTTGTGCTTAAGTTATTAAAATTGTCTGGAATTTTGAAAGAAAGTCCTTGGAATTCACCCAGAATGCATTTGGTTCTCATTAAATTATGTAGACTGTCATTATCACAAGTCAGAGTCTTGTGCGTTCTATGGATTTTTGCCGGGTTGTCAACATTTAAAAGTTTGAAGGGAAACAAGATGTCTTAGAATAATCCTGATTTTGTTTGTTTCTCTTTAAGGTGAATCTGGGCTTGGAAAGTCAACATTGATCAACTCCCTGTTTCTGACAGACTTGTATTCTCCAGAGTACCCTGGACCTTCCCACAGAATTAAAAAGACTGTTCAGGTAAATCTCTGCTACTGCTTTACACCAAAGTATCTGTATGTGGATCTGAATAAACATTTAAACAAAAGCAGAATGACATAAGACTATCATGATTTTTACACGGGCTTCAAGTAAACATAGTAACTGCTTTTTATCTTAAATATATTAATGGAATAATTTATTTTGAAAATACCCAGTTCCGTTTTACCTGTTGAGGCTGATGAGATTGAAATTCGGAGTCTCATCAACATATGTCAGTCCATATCCATTTAATAAAATGCCAAATTGTGTAGGCCTTCACTATAAGGTCCTGCACTGAGAATTTCAACACAAAAGACCCAGAACAAATTGAATGCGGTGTATCACTGGATGCCAGATCTGTGGTTTTCCTTATGTGCAGACATACTTATTTGATCCTTCAACTTACACAGTTTATGAAAACATACTTTGATTGCCAGTAAAACTGTCCCATTCACTAACTAGAAAATAGTCACCAGTGTCTTTTGTTTGAAGTGGAAAGCAGTAATTAATTTTAAAATTAAATTGTTTGTAAAGTTTTGAAAAACTGTTTTAAATTAGCTTTGCAACCGTATCAGCTCGAATAAACTGTTCCTAAACCTCCCTGTCACTGTCGGCTGTGCTACTACACAGACACATGTGTAGGACTGAAAACCTTCGACATGAACTGTGACCAAGAAATGTTTTTGAACATAACTAAAAAATAAATGTACTTTTAAAATAGCCCAGTTTCAGAATTTGCTGCTTTTCTTTTTTAGAATAAAAATGGACGTTGTTCAGTTTTTTGCCTTTCAAAATGAAGTTATCATTGCCTCATATGATAGCAAGACATGGATGATGTGCCAGTCAGAAAGAGCAGCTAGTGTCTTGTGGTTAGAGAGGCGATTGGAATCGTCTGTTAGATGTGTTGAGTTGTGATGATGGGAGCAAAAAAAAAAGAACTTTAAACAAAAACACCAGGGCCTTACCCTCTTATACATCAAGGGAGGTGCATTTAATTTCTGCTTTTTATTCACTTCTTTCATTTTTGCTGCTTTGTTCACTTTGAGTAAATTTAGTTTTTTGTACTTTTCCATTTTGAAAGCTCATTTCTGCTTTTGGAAATGTTTGCTGCCACAGAGAACCTGTACTGCAAAACTTGTCTCCAGATGTCTTTGTAAAAGGCAAGATTAAGCTCGTTAAAACTGTCATTTAAATGGTTACAGCTAGGCTTGCTGCATGTCAAGAGTTCTTACTTGTTTTTTGCACAAAGTATATGGTGTTCTTCTTAAAGGACTACAACAAATTTGAACCTGATAACTCAAACACGTAAATATTTTGTATTTAAATCTGTTGAATCTGTACCACAGCGGTAACACATTAACTTGCAGATTGAATGCATTGAGAAAAGGGCTTGAGTTAAAAAATCACCCCTTTTTAATGACGGTTTATTGAGTCGCACAGACGACAGTCCTTCCATTTGATTAGTAGATCTGAGGTATTTTTAGAATTAAGTCATTTTTTGTGAAGAAAAACTTAATCAAAAGCTATCACTTGATATGATATCAACAGGTGCTAGTTGTTGTAAGAACATCAAACAGTCCTATGTTAAAGGTAACCATTGAGGAGTTGCACTACTACAGTTATATCTATAGGACATGATCACAGTAGTCCATTGTCCATCTTCACACACACTTACTCTTGATCTGGTTCTTCTGGCAGTTTATGTACTTTCATGCAAGCACAGTGACAGTATTACTGTTGGGGACCAAAATTTGGGATTGATTTGTGATTTACAGATACACTGATATTTTCCTTACTTTTCCAATATTGTCTCCTGAAGTTCAGTATCCTTCAACCTGAAATCTGTCTCTTGGAGATGTTTTTGGTGAAGTGGAAAACTCATCAGCTGCTCCCACTTGTGTGACTATCACTACCTCTGTATATAAATCAATCAGCCTTGCCAGATATGTTTCTTTACTGCAGATTGTGGAAACATTTCTGCTTCCAAGAATTTCTAACTGCTGACAGAAGAGGATTTGGGGTTTGATTGACTTCATGCCCAGTAGCAGCGGTATGCATGGCCAAAAGGAAGAATGGATTACTGTAAACATTTTTTTGTATGCGCCTTTCTGTGCTTTAAAGATATTGTTGGCCCATTGGATCATAGTGGTTTCCTGCTGAGTGTTTCGGATGATTATCATTTTAATATACTATTGGCTGTGTTTGTCTGGTTCATTAGCAAACTAGTGTGTGTATCCAGTTTATGAAAGCTTATTTTTCCAGTTTTGGGCGGTAATTAAAATGGTCTAAAAACAGTTTCCAGTCCATTTCCTCTTCTCAATTTAGTTTTGACACATGCTCACAATTGCTCTTTTCTGTATGGCTGAAAGTGTTGGATACTGTGTTTCACAGGCTAGATGTTGGGGTGGAGAAAAATATGCAGCATTAAAAGTAACCCAACTAATGTTGTTTATACTGTATTCAAGCCAAGCTTTGGAGCCTGTATATTGTCCTCAAGCCGTTAAAGTTCTTGGTTATTAGACAGATACAGGAAAGGATCATGCTTTATAAAATTATAGAACAAGCCACAGACTCCAATTAAAAAAAACAGTACACTGAATTGCCAACACGGGTATAAAATGAAATTGAGGGTAAAATAAGTCTTTTAGTTCTACAACAAAAGGACCTTGAAGAATCAAGTGAAATGTATCCAGAGCAATAACAGGAAAATTCTGGACAATGAGAAAGAATTGTACTCATTACTTCACTAGTGTTCAGTAAGATAGAAATACACTACATTCCTCAAGACTGCAGAACCAGGTTAAGTATTAAATAGTGTTAACATAGAAAAGAGAGACTTACCTAGGATACTAGAAATACCCAAGATAATTTTCCAGGGGTCTGATGGTATCCTATCAATTGGGCTTCAACTGGGTGTTTTTAAAAGCTATTGAAGCAACTCTTCCAACAGTCACTGCAGACAGGATAACTATACTTGGACTGGAGATTTGCTAATGTAGTGTCCATTAGTTAAGAGGTAAAGAGTGTCAAATCCTTACCAAGTAATTATAGATCAAGAAGTCTGACTTCTATTACATGTAACTTTATGGGAATAATTAGAACTCAATGTCAGGATCATCTGTAGGGAAATAAGAGCCTAGGACACACCTTAGATTTACAAGGTATAGGGCTTAACTACTGTAACTTTAAGTTCTTGAACAAGCAGCAATGGGAATTAATACATGTAGAGAATATCATAAGGTATACAGCTAGTTCTCAGTTTAAGTGTTTATAATTTGAGCAGTTTCTTAATTTAGGACAAATTAGTTTGTCACTTTAACATGCTTGATAGCAATTGGAAAACAGGAAACTTGATTGAGTGGTTGATGCATCTATGGACTATTGATTCGTTTATTTTTTATAAAGTTCACCTTCTAACAGTTCTGCCTTCACATTTTACATGACCTTAATCAGCATTAACACATATTTAGTTATATAAGGCCTTTTATAAGCTGTTTAAATGTCTTGCGCAAATATCTGTATTTTTTAGCAAATCAGATCTTTCATGAGAAGTGAACTCCAGAACACACCCTAGCACTTTTATAGCATTCTTCTGTGGAATGAGTTTTGAATTCATGCTTTTTTTAAATACACAGCATTTTTCAGGAATGCTTCCAACATATAAATCGAGCACTACCTGTATTTCGATTTTCAGAAAGCTTTTGGTAAAGTCCCTCATATACGATTCTCAAATTATATACAGTAGGCATTTAGAGAAATGTGTGTTTGGATTGGACGTTGGTTGATGGGTTAAAACTCAAATTGCGGTGATATAATTAATGGAGTACTACAAATGTTTATACTAGGACCACTGTTCTTGCTAGTTTAGACAGTGATCTAGATTCTGTTATAGGTTTGATAAGAGTCAAGTTTGTAGATGATCCCAGAAAACACTGAGGATCAGCAAATACTGTTTGAAGCAAGAAATTAAATTAAAAAAGATTTAGCTAAAATTCAAGACTGGGCAAACACCTGGCAGTTGACACATAATATCCAGAGGAACTGAAGATTGCATACCAATAGCAATAACAAACTATAAATGCAAAATGTGAAATGCATGAATCTCGAAGTGGCTAATTAACAGAAAAGGATGCATCTCGCCAATGTGGGAAAGCAATAGAAAAAGCAAATTGAAAAGATAGAATTGGGCACAATTTAAATTTAAAAATTGCCCAACATGCTTCTAAGATTTCCTTCATGTTACAGTGATCAAAACTACTAATGCTGTACTCTGAATAAGATTGTTCATCTAGGATCAGACCAGGAAAGAGAAACAAGGTACATTTTGTAGTTTAAAGAATTTCCTACACTACTGAAAATATTCTCACTGCTAAGAATACACTGTAGTAGAATTTCCTACTACGCTGACAGGCTGAAAAGACCGAACCCGTTTAGTCTTGAAAACCTAACCAGGTTTGCACCAGGTTAGGAGGCACCAGGAGGCCATTCAAGGGCATTGACAGTCAATCCACTGGTCTTTTTCGACAGTGAAACATGAACCAGAGGTCACAAGTGTAAACTAAATGAAAGTGCATTTAAAACTACGAACAGGAGGCTCTTCTTTACACAAGAGGGTAGCTGAAGTAAAGAACAAACTACACAGCCATGATATGGAAGACTAAGCCCTGTCTTCTTTCAAGAAATGACCGGATGATCATCTTGGATCAAGCTACTTGATCTTGGCTACTACCAAATGTGATGGAACCATTCTTAAGACCATAGACAAAATACAGTGCAGTACAGTACAGTACAGTTGGTACAGTTGGCAGCTGTCTGAGAGGATAAAAGGTGTTGGTTTTGGTCTAGTTAGGGCTTTGAAGTTTGTAGTAGGAAAGATGTAAGCAATCCATCTTTCTTTTATTACTGGTAAAGTAATTCTGACCCCAGTTGGTCTTGACTGACTTTTCTTAAATACTCACTTCAGTCATATTGGAAGTACCACATCCTGTTAAAACTCCCCG